AAAAAAAAAAAAGGACTGTTACAGCTCTTTGCCTTTTACTTTATTAATAAAACGAGTTTCTGTAATACAGTATAACATTCAGCTGTCTATCCAAAAGTCGCGCTATTATTGTTCCCAAGTTTTACAGGCCATACCCATCAACATCGTGATTACCAATAGCCAATAGCAACATTATTGGTTGCACTCAGTAGCAGCAGCAACAGAAGTAGAAGCATAAACGAACATGGCTGTTGTTGAACACGAAACAAAACCGACAAACTTTGAAGTGGCAAATGTTGAAGCTCCATCTTCAGGTCAGCACAAACATTTGTTTCGTAGACTTTTTTTTATTTTGTAATTTTTATTATTTGTATAATAGAAAATAAATGAATGCGAAAAAGAGAAAAACAGAAACATACTGATTTTTGTTTTCTATTTTTTTTTTCTCCCGAAAGCTGCAAGAAAGTACAGCAAAAGAGTACAAAGAAATTGCACCAGTAGTATTTAGGTCTAATGTAATGACAAGAAAATTCATGTTTTTTCAGTAGAATAAAATATTAATTTGAATAAAAATACAGTATTTTTGAAATTTAAATAAATTATTTTTTTATATCTGCACATTTATTAACTAACATTTCTTTTTTTCTCTCCTTATTTTAATACTTGAAATTTAATGGCTTTTAGTTGAAACGATGCCTAGTTTGTTTAAGATTGGGTTAGCTGTCCAATATTCCTAAACTGTTCCAGCTCAACATTACAACAACAAATTTTTTGCAATAACCATCCTTTGTAATGACAAATTTTTACAACTTTTTTTTAGTCTGTTTGTTTAGTTATATTTTTTGTTTCGCTTTGTTTTCTTTTTTGTTTTTTGAACAGTACTTTTACTTTGCTTCTTACCTTTGTTCTTTCGTCGCTTAAAGTAACAGAAAGACAACGTTGACGGTTGACTAGTATATTTTTTTAAATAAATAAACCTTTTATACTTTCTCAACTTTTCTCCTCTTCTCTGTCCATTTCTTTACTTTAAAAACACAAACACTGTTAGCTTATTTGAGAAGCTTTTTTTCCACTGCGATTTTTACCTCTTTTGTGCTGCGCTTATTTCACTCAAACGTAAAGCAAATTGAAGCAACTTCAAAAATCTGTACGAAAGTACTGACAGTTTAGGCAAAACGTATAAACGTATAAATATGAAGTAAAATCTTCTGAATGTTCGTTGACATCAAAGCGATAAAATTTGATAGAATCAGATTGATTGAAAGAACGCAGCAAAAAAATCTCATATATTAAAGAAACAAAAAACCTGACAAAAAAGGGGTAAAAAATGACATATTAGATATATATTTGTCAAATTGCAATATTTTGGTTGGTACAAACTAAAATTCATTTTTTAACCATTTTTTATTTCACTTTTAGAAGCTCTTGTCATTTTCAAAATTTATGAACAAAATTATCGGTTTTTTTTCTGTCATCTTAAACATTTAGACAAAATTGTTTTTTGAGCAACGTAAGTAGAAATAACAGAAAACGTAACAGTGAAAGCACCAATAGCTATAAAACAAATTATTTTATAAAACTGTTCAAAATAGCTCTTTTGATGACCACAAATTGTTCTTTGGGCGCCTCACATGTTACAGTGATTAATTAAATTGAGAAGAAAAAAAGAGGAAATTATTGCAAATATAATCTTTTTTCCCTAATTTTATAAAATTCTTTTAATTTCAAAAATTCGTTTGATAATTAACAAAATGAGTATTTTTAAAGTGTTTCTTATAAAGTTCAGTGTTTTTATCGTGTCTAAAATTCTAGGACAGTACTGGTTTTGCTAAGTTAACTCAATTTTGTATCTGCTGATAAACTGAAAATTGAAAATAGATGTCAGCTGAGATATCTACAACAAATTGTACTTTCTTATATGGCTCAGTAGTTTTGATAAATTGGAAAACGGTTTATTAAGCAGAATAATAGAGAGGACAGTGGAGAAAGATAAAAATGTTCATTTTGCAGCAGTAATATAACAAGTTTTTTTTTCAAGAACTTCAATGCTTATCTGAGACGGTTGAAAACCCTGTTCAAGATCCC